GCCCCGGGGTGTCCCCCTGTGTGAGGGGATGGGGCAGCCCCGGGGCCCAGGCGGTCCCAGGGCCCGTGGGGCTCTGGCGTGAAGGGACAAGGGGGGCTCTAGCACCCCTGTATGAGGGTCTGAGTCATCCCTGGGGGCCGTGGGGGCTTGGTGTGAGGGGATGAGGTGGCTCTGGTGGGTGACAGTGTGTCTGAGGGGACCCCAGGGTGGGGGGGTCAGCACTGCTCTGCTCAGGACAGCGCTGGTAGGTGATGGGGGGATTCTGAGGGGGGGCCCTGGGATCCCCTAGTTGTTGTTGTTGGGGTTGGCAGCCCAACCGGCTCTGGTCCGTTCTGGGGGTCCCTGGGGTGAGAGGAACAGGCCGGCAGTGGTGGGTGACCGCAGTTGTGTTTCTCACAGGCTCCAGTGTCATGTTTTACCTGGCAGCTGCCGTGTCGGATTTCTACATCCCCGCCTCGGAGATGCCTGAGCACAAGATCCAGTCCTCGGAGGGGCCCCTGCAGGTGAGGCTCCCATGGGCACTGGCCCCCTCCACCGCCCCTTCCTCCCCTCCTGACATCTGGGCCATCCCAGTGTCCTGCTGGGGTCACGGCTGCCTGGGGTCTGGCTGTGAATAAGACCTGGGAAAAGTTGCAAAGCAGCGGCTTGCTGGCCAAAGAAGCATGTGTTTTCACTGCCAATGGGAGGGAGAATTTCTATGGGAGCAGAATCCCATGGAAATATCCCTTTAAAGCTGTATATGCTGACAGTGTGGAGATGCGTAGATGGTGGGTCTCAGCGGAAGAATAGTTGCTGCTGGAGTACTTGCCTTGCCTTCTTTCTGCTTAATGCTGGCAACACCCTGAAGGGTGTAGCATGTGTCTCTGGTGCCCAGGTCCCTTTCAGCTATGGGAGCAGGTGGATCTACAGCTCTGTATATAACAAATATAAATTTGTTTAGTTAGCTTTTAACAAGTTGCTAGCCTTAAGTCTTTATCCGAAGCGTAGGAAGAATGAGACTCTCCCAGATTTCCAGTGGCAGACCCAGAGGTTAAGAAGCTGGAGAACAGAGACTCCTACTTTTTTCTCCATGCTTTGGCATATTTGTGCTTCGTGTGCCCTAAAGAGTTGATGGAAAGAAGGGTTAAGATTTGATAAGCTGCTTGGATTTTGGAGAGGTGAAAACTTGGAGTTCTGCAGTTGTAATTCTTTTTTTAATCTTCGCCTGCTTAGGTTTATATTCCCAGAGTGGTTTTAGCACTTAAATAACAAAACGTTCGTGCAGTTACTGTGGGCCTGCTTCATTACTTAAGAACACCCTGCTTATTGTTAATACCAGACCGATAACTTAATTGAGTTTTACAGTGCATGCCAGTGACATTTTAACCTTTTTTGGTGAGATCTGACCAAGTACTGCCTTGGAAAACTTCCCAGTGTAAATATAATACGAACTGAAGCTGGAATGTCCCTATCCCTCCTCCCTCATCTCTTCCTAATGTTGTAATTAGGAAGAGTAATGTTTTTACTGAAACTTTTCTCTACTGTCTTTTCCCAATGTAGATCACAATGAAGATGGTGCCAAAAATGCTGTCTCCTCTGGTCAAAGAATGGGCCCCAGAGGCATTTGTTATTTCCTTTAAACTGGAGACGGATCCCTTGATCTTAATCGATAAATCACGGCAGGCTCTGGAGAAATATCGTCACCAGGTGGTGGTAGCAAATATCCTGGAGTCGAGGAGAACCTCTGTTATTATTGTAACCAAAGACTCACAGACTCCATTATCTCTTTCTGATGAGGAAATAGCGCAAGGCATGGAGATAGAGGAGAAGATAGTGAGCTATCTTCAGGGCCAACATACTGCATTTATAGAGAAGAAAGTCTGAGGACCGGCTCTGAATGAAACAAGTGAAATTGTACTAGAGAGGGAGTGGAACTGGAGCCATTCTCTATCCCAGGTAAACAAAACAATCCTCAGTGAAACACTGTGGGAAAAGCTGCCGTCCAAAACAGTGTAACTTTTCTACAGCTCAGTAATGGTTATTGTTGCTTGCTTTGAAAAAGAAAAATACACTGAAGTGAAAACATTCCAAAGGATGATATTTGTTCTGGTGTCTAAGGAAGGAAAAGATATGTTGCTTTATTTCTGTCCCGTGGGCTGGGAGAACCGGGAGGTGGAGAAATGGTATATATGTCTGTATATAAAAGATTTTCTTGAGTCTGCCTCTTCAAAGTTTCTTTTTGAATTGTTGGACAGAAGGAATGGTGCTTTGCAGAAAATAAGATGTGTTTTTATGACTGGAGTGGAGCGACAGAGCTGGCAATCATCCGGTATTGAAAGTGGATGGTGAAACAACTGTGGCAAAAGATGAAGGCGAATGAGGTGGTAACAACTTTGGAGAGCTTCTGTTGCTCCAGGGGAGATCCAGTGGATCTATGCTTCAGGAACTCTGCTCAGAAACACGGTTCAAAAAAATAGGTATTGTAGCAGTGTCCCTAAAGCAGCTGTTTCAAGGTTTTCCTTCCATCTTGGGTGTTCATAGGTTGCTGGTGGGGGATAAAGGCAAGGAAGTGGGTGGTCTCTGAGCGTGGCTTGAGGGCAAGAGGTGGGAGAAAAGGAATAGGCGGTGAGGGTGGGGAGGTGAAAGTGGATGGGGTAGTGGTGATCAGCCTTGGGAGGAGAACTGCCTCTTGGCTATTTGCATGGAGTTAGAACCGGGATGTTCCTCATTTTCTCTAAAGCCTGCTTCCATACGATTACCAACTTCTAAGCATATATTCTCGTGCTTGCAGGAAGCAAAGTGTGTAATTTTGTGGTAAAAAAACTTAACTGCAGCTCTCCCGCTGTCCATTGTGTGCCTATTTACACGCTTTCTTTGAAATAAATTTGCTGGAAGTCTGTAAAGACACAGTAACGCACAAGAACGCTGTTCTTGCACTTGAAGCCTCTCCAGAGGTGAGACTGCTATTTAAAACCACCGACCATTCAAGAAGACAGCGGTACTTTTGTAGTGATTACGACCACCTGAAAATGAGGTATGCTCATAAAATGAGGAAGAGAAACCCAGCAGAGCAAGAAAAGAGCATGAGGATGGGCTCAGCGGATCAGGAGGGAGCATTGGAACACTAAAGGAGTATGATATGTTTAGTGATGGGAGAAACAGTCCAGATGAGTCAGGAGGGCTGAGATCCAGCTAGTAACTGAGTTGGGAGAAGGAGCTAATGACTTCTAGTGGCTGGGACTGACACCTGCAGAAGGTGGAGAGAGAAGTGCAGCGGAGACTGTTGTGCGTAGATGTGGGAAGTGCCCATTGGAGACGTGCAAATAGGGGAAGGAGAAGATGATGGAACATCCTGCGCATGTTTGATGTGCTCACGGGCCCTGAGAGCTGCCTGTCTTCGTCTTCCAGTACGTAACTGATGTGCACGCTGAGTCCTGCTAGTTTAGGGGTTTCTGTTGTCTTTATTTGGAGTCTCACACTTCCAACCAGGGGTGGGCCAGCAAAGATGAGAGTATAAAAACTTGTGTAAATTGAACGTGCCCTTGCAGGAGTGTTGGCAGAAGGGGTGGGAGAAGTGCAAACACTGCTGTCTGGAGTATTTGGGACTTCCTGTGTCAGGTAATTGTGAAGGAGAGAAATAATCTGAACTTTTCCTGGAGAAGACTTGGGCATTGGACCCTGCGGGAGTCTCAAGGGGCTGCACCGTGCGACTCAGGAACAGGGCTGCGGGCTTCCCTGCGTAATGTCTGCCCCTCCGTCTTCAGGAGGGTGCTGAAGCCCAGGCTGGGGAGACTTTGAAAGCTCGAACTAAGCCACAGCCATCCCGATCCGGTGTTGGTGATGGTCCTGTTTGGGAGGATGGGAGCTCACATCTCACCAACATCTCTAGCGCTGGCAGTGTTTGGGCACCATCCCTTCCCTTTGGGGATGTCTGGTGTGGTACCATGAGGAGGAAGCGGCTCCTGCAGGTCCAGGACCATCTCTATGTCGCTTTCTGAGGATCCCAGGCTCTGCTCCATCGAAGGTCCTCACTGTGCCTCCTCTCCACGTCTTGGTCTTTGCCTACCGTCCTCTTGAGCAGCGCCTTCAACTGGCGAGTCAGCTCTGCAGGACGAAGCCTGCTTTGTCCCTTGCAGTTTCTCCGTCTCAGTTTCATGTAGGTGCTCGCTTTACCTCGGGGGAAGTCCGTCATCTCCCGCAGCTTCACGTGGGGGTTCCGAAGAAAATCGGAAAAACCTTCAGCCCCTTTTGCTTGGTTTTTGGTGCTAGCCGTAAGCGTTTCGGTAGATCCCTTTGATCGTGCGGTGGACTTGAAGGGTGGGTGGAGACAGGGAGGCCCCAAACGCCACCGGTGTGGTGGTCAGGAGTGGGACACGTCTCCTTCCTGGGTCACCCGAAGGAGAAGAGGGACCCTGGCTGCCACCGCCCCGCGCCTGCCGCGAGGGGGCGTGTCCCGACGAGCGGAGGGGCGTGGCTTAGGCG